ACAAGAGTGGGAACAAAGTGGGAACAAGAACCCCAAAGTGGGACAAAAAGGGGACAAAGTGGGAACCACGTGGGAACAAAGTGGGAACAAGAACCCCAAAGTGGGACAAGAGTGGGAACAAAGTGGGAACAAAGTGGGAACAAGAACCCCAAAGTGGGACAAGAGTGGGGAACAAAGTGGGAACAAGTGGGCACAAGAACCCCAAAGTGGGACAAGATGGGGAACAAAGTGGGAACAAGAACCCCAAAGTGGGACAAGAATGGGAACACAGTGGGAACAAGAACCCCAAAGTGGGACAAGAGTGGGAACAAAGTGGGACACGAGTGGGGCACAAAGTGGGAACAAAGTGGGAGCAAAGCGGGGCCAAGAACCCCAAAGTGGGGCAAGAGTGGGGAACAAAGTGGGAACAAAATGGGAACAAGAACCCCAAAGTGGGGCAAGAGTGGGGAACAAAGCGGGAACAAAGTGGGAACAAGAACCCCAAAGTGGGACAAGAGTGGGAACAAAGTGGGACAACAGTGGGATCAAAGTGGGAACAGAGTGGGAACAAGAACCCCAAAGCGGGACAAGAGTGGGAACAAAGTGGGAACAAGAATCCGAAGTGGGATAAGAGCGGGAACAAAGTGGGAACAAAGTGGGCACAGAACCCCAAAGTGGGACAAGAGTGGGGAACAAAGTGGGAACAAGAACCCCAAAGTGGGACAAGAATCCCAAAGTGGGACAAGAGTGGGAACAAAGTGAGAACAAAGTAGAAACAAGAACCAAAGTGGGACAAGAGTGGGAACAAAATGGGAACAAAGTGGGAACAAAGTGGGAACAAGAACGCTAAAGTGGGACAAGAGTGGGAACAAAGTGGGAACAAAGTGGGAACAAGAACCCCAAAGCGGGACAAGAGTGGGAACCAAGTGGGAACAAAGTGGGAACAAGAACCCCAAAGTGGGACAAGAGTGGGGAACAAAGTCGGAACAAAGTGGGAACAAGAACCCCAAAGTGGGACAAGAACCCCAAAGTGGGACAAGAGTGGGAACAAGAACCCCAAAGTGGGACAAGAGTGGGAACAAAGTGGGAACAAAGTGGGAACAAGAACCACGAAGCAGGACAAGAGTGGGAACAAAGTGGGAACAAAGTGGGAACAAAGTGGGCACAAGAACCCCAAAGTGGGACAAGATGGGGAACAAAGTGGGAACAAGAACCCCAAAGTGGGACAAGAGTGGGAACAAAGTGGGAACAAGAACCCCAAAGTGGGACAAGAGTGGACACGAGTGGGGAACAAAGTGGGAACAAAGTGGGAACAAGAACCCCAAAGTGGGACAAGAGTGGGGAACAAAGTGGGAACAAAGTGGGAACAAAGTGGGAACAAAGTGGGAACAAGAACCCCAAAGTGGGACAAGAGTGGGAACAAAATGGGAACAAAGTGGGAACAAGAACCCTAAAGTGGGACAAGAGTGGGAACAAAGTGGGAACAAGAACCCCAAAGTGGGACAAGAGTGGGAACCAAGTGGTAAGGACGTCCGAAGCGTACAGAAACGGGTCTCCCTGTCTAACTAGGGCGGTAAGCTCGTTCAGTGCCCTACCCACCCTGGATTATAAGAGTTGCTCTGTAGGCCCAGGAAGCCGCAAGGAGCTCCATATGATTTATGAAAGCTTTCAGTGGATCAAATCTAAACAAGATGGATACCAATAATGATGCAAGAGGCTTGCAGTGTATATATCATGTTATTGGTTAACATATCAAATGATACCAAAAACACGACAAGTGCAAGCACAGGACGTGACAGGACAGCATTTTTTTCGGCTTCCGCTAATTGATGCCACTGCAAATTGTCCGATGACCATGTGGTCACATTGATCACCAAAGCAGCAATGGCACTGGCCTTCGAAAAGATGAGGCTATGAGGCAACCATTGTCAACCAACACACGATAACAAATATCACCAGCAGTCAGCAGGACGAATCTTTGATACATACAATAAGAAATCTCTAAATATATATATATATACATAGTTTGTGTATATGTATATATATACAGTATGAAATCATATTGCAATATGTCAATGTAAATGAGTACTATAAGCAATAACCAAATTAATTAACAAATAATCAACTTTCATTGCGGCGGCAAGAGGCTGCAAGAGATCAACGACTGGAATAGAGATGAATCGGAGATGGGATGAGATGATGAAATGAATGATGAGAGGTGAACACACTGAAGACACATTGCCAAATTGCACAGGAAACAACGATCTCATTGTTTCAAAGCTCATCACAACTGAACTTTTTCCCCGTGGTTCTTCATCGTATTGCGACGCATGGCATGACCCTATGAGTCCTATGATGCCGCTCGGGTCGCTTGGGCTGTGATCAGGGCGCTCATCCCTCAAGCACCGGCATTTTGCCAGCAAAAAAAGCTATGTTTGTCTTTTGTCTCAGGTCTCATGTGCCGACTGTGCTGACTTGACTCCAATATGACAAACAATGTGTCTGGTGAAGTAGGTAATGTTCAAAAACCAATGGATCAGCCAATGCTGCTGCAGAATCCAAACAGAACACAAAAGCCACTTCCATATATATATTACACAGCTGTTGCTCTTGGCAACGTAAGTTGTCATCATGGCAAGCTTATTGCCATGGAAACCATGAAACCCTGAGAGTTGACTTTGCCTTTTTGAACGGGCCGGCAAATATTCACTCACTTGCACGCAGCAAAGCCCAACAGCGTCCACATGATAGGCGTATAGTATAGTTCCAGTTAACTAATATTCCGAAATAATATATTACAATCTGAATCTTTGATTGAGGTGAGGATATGAAAACCACATGCTCTTTTTATGACACTTGTCGCTGTGCAGCCACCCCATTCAAATGTGACAGTCACATTTGTGTGACGCTTTAGCAATTCGAAGCCAACTTGCACCTAAGAAAGCAACCTACAACTAGAAAGAAGAAAAATATCAACTTGATGAATCATCAGTGGTCATCACATCGTCAGATCGCTACGTTGCGTCACATCACGTCGCTCACGCCAACAAGTGTCGCAACTCTTTGGCCGTTTTGTCGCCCCCTCCCCGGTGATGGGAGAAAGTATCACCCACATGAGTGGCAACAACATCGGACAGGCCTGTCCAAACTGTCTGCTTCCCCCAAGTCTCCTGAATTTCGATGTGCTTAGCAATTGCATCATGGTCAATCTCCAAATCAGACTTCTCCTGCAACTTGATGAGCTCTGCTGGCCTCAGATGTGTCTTGATGCACAAATGTTAGTGATTTCATGATTGGATTGATCATGCATGGTGCATGCACGGATCAGTAGAAACAAAAACGTCCAAAGGGCGGCAACCTATGGTAACCTTGTCAAGTCACAAAAGGCCACGTGTGATTGGAATATAGAATGACGATTCGACTTCGCGAACTGGTACATGAATCACGGTCGGCAATTCTGATCCTGGATACATCAACTCAGGCGTCAGATGAGCAAACTTCTCCCAATCATCAGTCTTGAGAGGCAAGCGCGGATTGAACACCAACTTGGGCACATCAATGCAAACAGTGCGGGTGGTATCACTGCCACACGCCGGCAATTCCACATTCAACTTCTGAGAGCTGGAAAAGGCCAACCTTGGTAGAATGTTTGAACATACTTGATAATCCTTTTGATTCCAGAAGATAAATGAAATGAATCTCTTAGTAGCCTAACTTAGTAGCATGTCTAGTAGCAGGGGGTGTGTCCCAGCCCTAGTACATAAGATTTTGTTTTTAAGCTCAACAAACACAATACCGAAACATATATGCCTCTGCTTCATCCCATACAGCAATGATTTCGGGCTAGCATACATAAGTATACAACCTTCATCACTAGGGCACCTCCGCCCTAGTCCCACCAATCAGACAATGTGGTGGGGCACCTCCGCCCCAGTCCCCACCCAATCAGTAGGGCACCAGCGCCCCAGTCCCCGCACAATCCAGTGGGGCACCCCCGCCCTAGCCCCCCCATCCAATCCTATGGGGCACCACCGCCCTATTCCCCATCCAATCCAGTAGGGCACCATCGCCCCACCTGAGTAAAATGTTGCAGAAAAGAAACAAAGGCTCATCCACAAAGGCAATGGGAAACTCTTCTGCTCCCTTCTGCTTTTTCCCCTTCGCCTTGGCTTTCGCTTTGACCGCCGCTTTACCTTTGGCAGTTGCTTTGGCTTTGCCTTTCTTTTTGGTTCCCATGGCTTCAGAAACAAATGCCGCAAGTTCATCCTCGACATTGGAAACTGAGCCTGGATTTTGATTCTCCTTGCCACTGGATTCAGCTGGCTTGACCTGCTGCTTGGCATTCTGAGCAATTTCTTTGTCCTGCTGTGCTGGTGTGAGCTTGATCTTCTTTGACGGAATGGTCCAAGCCGGACAAACACACTCGCATGCCATCACATTGTCAAAGCCCTGTCCGAAGACCAACCACGGCAAGGAAGGAGCATTCTCCTCATCTTGGCGCATGCTGGTCATGGGTACAGTGATGGATTTGCATTCCAAACCGATTGGTCCAAAAAAGGTCAGCTTGGAGTCTTTGAAATCGTTAAGGTTCACCTGGGCAAACATTGTCTGGGGAATCTGTGAAGTAGCACCAGAGCCTGCAATGCTTTGGAAGAAGCTGGCACTCTCGAGCACTGCAACATTGCAAGTCTTTCCCAGTGTGATGAGATCATCTGCGCTCACCAGATCTTTGCGTTCAACTGAGAGCTCGATGCCATACAACGTGTTCTTGGCATTCGACACATCGAACATGACCTGCAATTTCTTCCATGACTCACTGTCTTCGATCCTTAGCTGTTGTTCAAATCAAACTTAATGCCCAATGAGTCTAAAAGATTAACATACAACAACGAACGCACATCCATGTGACACATACATTGCTCAGTCGCCAGTCGCACATTTGCTGACCATAACAACATGATGACTCTGTCTCTGTTTGGTATTATTCCATAAACCTGCACAAAGACCATTTTTTTAATTAATCAGGTGTCAAGTAGATGTGTATGTGACTGTATGTAAGCACTACCAGCAACAACTATAATTGCACAAACAACAAAGGACCACAGATCATGCAATGAATAGATACCATCATGCAGGAGGTTGGCTTCTTTCATTTTCATTGTTGGCTGTTCAGGTTCAACTTCAAGTCAAACAAGAGAACCAACATCAGCCGCCTAACAGTCTAACAGCAAAGGCTCTGTGCGATCTCAAGCAACTTCTGCTGCAGGTAAAGCTTTTCGTATGCAACTTGTACGACAGAAGCCGTCGTGCTCTTGTGATCCATGAGGGAGATGTACTAGGCAGCAGACAGGAATGATTAACACAAGCGCCAGATCCGGAAATCAGCAAAATCAAACCAACTGACAACTGTGACAGCTGGCAAGGAATCATCAAACACAACACACAATCTCATGTAGTATAAATGAAAGCTGTTGATTTGATATGGTACATAGTACATAAGCAAAAGGAATAAAACAAATAAGTTTGGTTGCAGACAGTACTAGCGCTGGGAAGACTTGAAAACATAATATCATAATAGGACCATTCTGGTACATGGAATCGGCCAAATCCAATGTAAGCAAGCTGGTTCCAACATTGTAACATCGTAGCATCAGTCCAGGAACACCCACAGGAAAACTAATCATGCTGGCATCACAGCCCATCACAACATTGAAGCTAATCAGTGGTGTCAGCCTGTCAGTTTTTCATCCTAATTTAATACAATGCCGTGTTGAAGTTGGGTAATTGAATAAAGCAAGTCAAGTCACACTCACAGGTTTGATGGCCGACACTGAACTTGGTTCCAGCTTCAAATCAGCAGGTTCGGCAGGCGTGTTCGTGTTGGCGGCCTTTTGTGTTGGAGCAGTAGCTGCAGCTCCCGACAACTTTCCCTAAGCTCAAGCTCTGTTTAGAACAGCCAGCGGCAAAGCTAGCTTACAGAGACGTAACGTCAGAGAATTCCAAAATAAAATGATATAGCTATATATATATATATTTTTTAATGCTACGAACACCAAAAGCTGATGGGATTGAGACTTACAGCTTACAGGCTTACAGATTGATAAATCAATTCTGGTTTCTGATTGGATCAAAAAGTCAAAAAGACAAACTGACGACTGACAACATCTGAACTTACCACACAACACGATGTTTGCAACTAACGATGGCTAATGCTTCTGTTGCTTTTTGCAAACTAGCATCTGTGACGCTAGTTTAAGCGCAACTTCTCCATGTCCTTAGATATCGATATCACTAACGCAAAAAGACAAAAAAATGAAACAATGACAGCACGTGCAAATAATTATTAGGAAGTATATATTCATATAATGTGTTCTAAAACAGATACCTTACCTGTGCACAGGTTGATTGGATGGCTATGTCAACCGTATCAGCCTGTCAAACTGGCGAAATATCATTTCTTCAAGAACAACATCTATGATTACAAAGAATGCAAGCAGAGAGGATGGGACGAGAGTCTCTCTCCATCTTGTCCATTCGATCAGAGGTGATGATAGAAAAACTTCCCAACGACTTCATGTTCGGCATGATATCGCTGCTTTTTGCAAAGATCTCCGCCCATCCAGCGACAAAGTGATGTCGATCGACCATGGCATTGTCCATGTCAACCAAGCTGCGCTCAAGCTTTTTGCGAGATCGAAACAACTTGACAAGTGTCGCAAGCTGTGCATTTTCGAAGGGCACCTAGATAAACACTGAACAGCAGGAGAAGAAACAGAGACAGAGAAAGGTGAAACGGTGAAAAGAGAAACATATGATGGAGTCACATCTGAGGAACAACAGGAACAATGATGTTAATTTGGGTTGCAGTGGGTGGATGTTGATACAGGTGAATCATTTAATCAAAGTTGAATTGGTAAATCATTGAAATCAGGGTTGCTCATGACTGTTGATTTGTTGATAGACCCAAAACTGTAACTTCGAACAAAGCAGTGAGCGACAGGTGGCGTGATATGAAATGCACGACCGCTCTGATATATACACACCCATACATAGACGTACAAACATGCATATATATATAGATTTAAAAACAACATCAATGAACATAAAGACACGTAATGGTGTTGATCAAAGTTGACAAATTTGTAACTGGAAAACCACACATCTCAAATTTATGTTTTGAATATGGACCATCGAGTGATTAAGTGATTGGGATGCCACATTCTGACCTGTAACCCGTTGAAACTATATACCGGTAAGTTCGGCAAGCATGTGTATTTGATTGATTTGGTTAAAAAAAACTAAGGACTAAGGACGTCACACGGCCAGAACCACTACCAGGGCTATGTGCCAGGAAGTCAAACATCTCCAGAACACACGCTGCACGGATGCATCTCAACTTCAAGACCACATCCTCAGACAAGCCAACACTCATGATGAGGGGCGGCAACTGCCAGGTTGTCTTGAACTTGTCCGTGATGGTCGCCACATATTCCTGAACTATGGGCGGGTACTCGGCATACAAGATGCGGCCAACATCATAGATCATATCCTCCAAAGAAGCATCGGCTGAATGGTATGCACATTGGGAATCTTCGTCGGTCCTCATGACGAAATTTTTGAAAAGCAAAATGGGTGAAACATAAGCACAGATTTGCAGGAGACTGTTTGCCTACTGTTAGCTGACTGACAAATCAATATTACATCACAACTCAAGTTGAACTCAAGCTATTTCGCATTTGACTCAAGCCACATGTGACAAGCGTTTCCATTCACACGTTTCAGAACATGTCGTGCAAGTTTGGCAGAGTATGCCCAGAGTGTTAGTAGTTGTACTCGCCTGCATTTGAATGTCAAACAACAAAAAAAAACGTAAACCTTCAAGTCGGCTGAACGACTTAGACAACCGAGACCGAGTCTGAGTGTCATCATCTGTCATCATGTCATTGCTGTCTAATAGTCTAAGTTCTAAGTTCACCCAAGTCACATGCTGGAAGAGCAAGAACATCCAGCCTTCAACGCTAGCAGCATCTTTCCCAAGAGTGGAGCTTGGCGCAAGGTGGCATCAGACGCAGAGCCACCACCTTCAACTTCCATTTCTGTCCTCAATAGACTCAATAGAAACGTTGGAAATTGAAAAAAAAACTATAGTAATCAGTGTCGCACAGCCAACGGGCCAACTGTCGTTGTTAGTTGTTGCCTGTACAAAACAATGCCTAAAAAGCATCACTCAAACAACATTAAGCGTAATCAATGGTATATGTTGAACACGTAAGCACACATACATAAATGACGATGGTGCTAGTCAAATGTTAGTCTTTGGGTCAGTCAGAAATTCACTAGGTGTCAGCGTCAGAGTTTAGCTCTTTAAAGGTAAACGTGGCAGCATGGCAAGCAAGTCCGACATGGAACCCATGGAAATGGCAAATGTCTGGTTCAAAGATCAAAGTCCAAACTTCAGCTCAGGTCAGACGATCAGACATCATCCCATGGGTCCCATGACACTTCACGTCACGAAACCAATGTTTATGTACACACACAATGGCACACATATGAGTCATGACTCAGGCTCCCAAGGCCGGTGTGACCGTAGGTTTGACTGCAATAATTCTAATCAATCCTTTTCATGCCCTTTCACGCTTCATAGTTAGAGTGTGAGACACATGAACACTTGATGATATACTGTTATCATTTGTTGTTTTCCCAGAATGACAAACAGAAACATCACGCACCATGCGCCTTGGATTGCATCAAAGGATCTTTTTCTTACTCAGAAGCCCGAGTTCCACCATGCGATCGGACAGCTTTTGCCCGAACTGGTCGTTTGAATCCCCCTCGGCCAAAGGTCGCACACCTAACCCCTCTGTGGCAAAGAACACAAGTGCCTTGAACTTCGCTTCATCGGGCTTTGGCTGGCTGTTTGAAGGGGTTGAGCTTGAACTCACCGACTGCACACTGCTGGCACCACTGGCATGGGCATGTGACAAAAACTCTTGCAGTTTCTCCACCAAGCTTTCATTCGAAGAAGCGTTGCCAAAGTGTGGCAAGCAAGCTTTGATAAGCGACTCCAAAAGTTCTGCCATTGCAGGGGCCTTCACTTTGCTGAGATTTGTCAGGGCTTTACTGTGGCCGGGTGCGACTTTCTTCCCTGTGAAGGCAAAATGTAGCATCTGGCTGAAGTATGGTCCCACTGTTTTGCGGAGAAGCCCCTGTGTCCTTAGTTGCGTCAACGTCAACATCAAATCAAATACAATTTATCTTGCCAAACTGAAGACTGAAGGCTATTGGTTGGCTGTGGCTGTGGCTGTTGCTGGCTGCCTTACTAAATGAGTTGATGAAACTAACATAGGTGATAATTGACAATTTGATATTCAAAGATTCAAAGTTGTAGGCCTGTAGGCCGCAGGCCCGTATGCCGTTCTGCCTAACTTCATGTTGGTTGATTTTGATTGTCAGACTGGGACCGGGCCAAGCAAACAAACAACCTAACGCTGCAACATCATCGACATGGGATGCTGACACGTCTGACACCACCAAATTCAAATATCAGAATCATAACCACAATCTAAGTTGAGGTTCGGTTGAGCTGAGCTTCATGCTTGAAGAGGCTGCATTGGAAAACTCTGTGTCAACAATGGCAATCACATTCATTGCAGACTGCAACAACATGTCGGCAAAAGTCATTGCCCTATTCGTGCCCGGTACCATGGCGGTTGTCACTTCACCAGAAACCATCTTGAGTGGATCGAAAGAAGCAGGGCCACCAGTCTTTTGACGTTTGGGAGCCGGCACCTTTCCATTGGAAGGTCTCTTGTTGTTCTCGCTCTCAGTCACAATGGCTGCTTTGGCCAAATTGGCAACTATGCGAGCAGCAACATCGGGACGGGACCTATCGAAGATCCACTCGACTGGACTTGGTGATTCCTCCACCCATGGAACCTGAATCAGTGCAGGTCAGGCAATTGGGCAGCCAGGCAGCCAGTGACCATAACAGACTCAGAGACACGCGCCTAATAGTTCATTCCCTGTGAAAATAATATATAAATAAATCATGCCATGCCTGCCAAGCAAAAAAAAAGTGCGCTGGTATAGTTGGTTCAATGAGTCTATCTGAGTCAATCTGTCATCTCACGCAATGAGCAAAGTGAACATTGTGGCTCTGACCCGCATGGTTCTTACTTGGGAGTACTTGGAGTACCATTGAGTACCATACATAAATTCAAAATCCCACTGATCACAAGATCACATGTGATCATGTGATGGCCTATGCATATGGCGGCAACGGCTATAGCTGCAGCTAGAAGCTAGAAACCGATTCGATTTGTCGATTCAACTACTGTATATTTATATTATATCTATATTAATAATAATATTAATAATAACAAATAAAAAAAACTATATATATATATATGCAGCAGAGAGTGAGTGTGTGTGTGTGTGGGGAGGCAGCTGGCTGACTCGAACATTTAGTGGCAGTGGTGGTGGTGGTGCATCAAAATAGCAAGAACAAGAAACACCAATGTGTAATGTGTAAGAGAAGAGAAGATGTATGATGCATGATTGTATGATTGTGTGATAATAATAAATCGGCAATCGGCAGCATTCACGCTCAAGTCAATTCATCAAGACCCTTCAAGACCACCAATGCCAAGTGGCACAAAACTTCAATGCTTCGAATGCCAGCACTTCCAACATCATCCTGCAAGCAAAAAGAAAAGGTGAATATGAAATAACAATCCTGAGACTCGTGGAATCGAGTGGAGTCACAGGAGTCACACGACAAGGACAGTGACAGCGGCAATGTCAGTCAACACAGACACAGAGTTAACACAGCACTTCAGCGCTTCATACAACATTTGGAATTAGATTATAGGCATGTGTGTTGTGTCGTCGCAACTGCATCCCTAGGCCCGCCCACTAGGTGTGCTAGTGTCACAATGTCAAGCGGCCACAGGACAGTCATGAGGAGAAATATACGTTTCACATAAACCATGCCCATACATATACATACATACAAATGTACTTGTTGCAAACATACATTTAAAAAAGACACCCTTACAAAACTCCAAAACCCATGTCATGTCACATGTGTCCTCTTCTTATGTTCGTCCGGTTGGCCCTGGTTGTATGTCTGGATAACAGGGCCCAGTAGACTCAGGATGGTCTGCATGGCGTTGAAAGAAGTTTCCACTGTGAACCCTGATCGCAACACATCACAGCCGTCGTTCAGCTGCTCAACGACCATGTCGAGCAGGTTCAGCGAGGAGAGTTGGTTGGCCACGATTTTGCAGCTATCAAAAGCCCTAAAGCTCCTGTCAGGTCGGTCTTTTGTTTTGCGAGTTGCACTGCGCTGGTATATTGCTGATGGTTGTTTTTGTAACGCAAAAAAAAGCAAAGCGGCAACAACATCAATTACATGATGTCATCAGAGTCATCAGAGGTTCTCAAGAGCTCACTTCCTTTCCTGTTGGTGCACTACCACCCTACGGTCCTCCACACTCGGACAAACCGATTCGATATGAACTTCCAGTATTCTTGCTCGTATGAGCCACCACAGGCACGTCCCGTCGCACCCAAACCAAGTCGATGGTGGCGCCATGCAGCTTCTGCCTGCATACTGCATACCGTCAGAGTCATAGTCAAACAAGCAACTAGTTAACTAGTTAAGAGAGCACATCATTCACGAGACTGCCTGATGATGTGGCAACTTGAATCATACCAGCGATAACCAGCAGCTGGCAAATCACCAGATTCATTAATTCATCAAAGACGTAAATACGACTCATCGATTAAGAAAAAACAAAGTCGCACACAGTCGCTGCTGTTCTGCCACAATCAGAGGCTCTGTCATGTCATGTGACATGACATGACAGCGGCACTTGGTCACAATATCAGGTCAAAGCGTGTGGTTGGACAGTCCATGGACAATTGACAATGGAGACCATGACAAGTGCAAGGGGTGTGAGCTGAGAAGTAAATGAAAATACCAAGTGCACAGGTCCACAGTCTGACATTGACGCCACAAGCATCGATAACAACATATGGTTATATCTGGCTATGCGTTAATGGAAAGTTCACAATTCAAACTGTCTTGGCTCTTGATATCCTTGGCCCTGGACCACCTACATATGCTATGTGCCCAAATGGTGACTCGGTGATTCAGTGACCAATGATCAAACACTAACCCGCCTTCTTGACGAGCTTCAACTGGTTCATGAGGTCACGCTTTTCGTCGACCCCATTGTGGAACTTGACAAGGAATTCCCGGGCCTCCAGCGGCATGGGCTCAAAGATCTCAGCCTCAACACCTTGCGAGATGGATTTGCTCAGCGTAGCATTGTGGTTTCCAGTCTCTTTCATCTGCTTATCCGCAAGATACACCGCTTCTGTCCTTGAAGCAAGTGCAGAAAGCACTTGAGTCAGTTGAAAGTTGTGAGAGAATTTGAAGTCACTACAGCCATGACCACGGCAAAATCGAAATTCATTATAGGAAATAAATGATATCATAGAAATGTCCACGAGCAATCACGAAGGCGGTGTTTAAACAATGGCCAGTCAATGGTCAATGAACCAGTCACAGGTTATATGGTTATGGCTGAAGCGGTTTTGAATCTAAAATAATATGGTTTCTCATTCGAACAATGTTGCAATGGTGTGCCGGTCACATTAGCACAACCAATCGTTGTCTGTCATTGAGTCATTCAGCGACAGTCGACAGTGTGTGTGTGTGTGTTTGTATGTATCCATGTCAGGTCAGCATGTGATGTGATGTGTGTGACACTGTCGGGCAGCAGTGTGTGGGCGTGTGGGTGTCTTGCATGAAGTGATTGCTATACTTGAGCGATGTGAGTGTGAGTGTAGCTGCTGCTGTTGTCACCATACGGACCATCCGTCACCGTCAACCGTCGCCCTTGACCACAAGCTGCCAAGTCTCAAATGCCCCCATGACAAGCAATGATACGGCCTGTCATGACCCGGCAATCAAAAACAATTCACCAAGAATCACATTGTCATTTGAAACATCAAACCGAACACCACCACACATGTGCCACATGTGGACTCATGTAGATCTACTGAACTGTACTGTATTTGTAAAATGCAAGACATTCAATACATTCAATTCCAACCCCTTGGCCGCTTGGCGGCTGGTGTCATGTCAAGTCCAGTTGGCCAGGCAAGTTAATGTGCCATATGGCCATATGGCATGGCGTCAGTGCAAAAACAAAAGGTATAAACATAGCCCACAATTCCACAATCCACATCAAGTCTACATCCACAGTGGCATCGACATCATGAATCCACATCACATCACATCAGCGACTCATCAGCGACATTTCAAACCAGCGACAACAACAACCAAGACGAAAATAAGTAGATCCGAGATGCGATTCCTCATCTTCCCTCTCAATGACCCACATTCTTCCACGTGCATCTTCTACAACACCTTTTTCCTCAACTGATTTCTTCAGGAAATGAACAATGGCCAGTTTGCGACCTTGGTTGCAAGGATCGCGCACAAAGCTCTTTCGCTGCTCATGGTCGGAACCAGCTGTGAAATACCATGGAAGACGAACTCGGCGATTCTGTCACAAGCGGCAGTCTGAAAAGTAAAGATCATCATCAGTCAGTGATCATCCCCTCCAATCCATGGAATGACTAATCATGCAATAATAGCATTGAAATGAATTGTAATGTAACCGTGTATGTACTTCAACCCATTTCAACTCAACTCGAGGAACACATGAACACACACACTTGAACATTTGAACATAAGCCTTCTTGAAATGATCCACAAATTCCACAATAACACGACACTGAACCATTCACTCAGCAATTCAGTGATGTATGTCGGATGTGTGTCTGAATACCTCAGTGTCTGACTTACAACATGGCCGAATCATCTTATCATCTTGACCTTCAAACATTATATTGATTGACCACTACTAAAGACGAAACACACAGAACCGAGCACCCGCCCCATCAACATATGCCTTTGGGTTGTATGTCTTCTTGATGGCGTCCAACATAAGCTTTGGCTCCAACTCGCCAAAGAGGTCAGTGAGCTTTGCATCAGGGTTGTAGAGCTGATCCTTGATTTCATGTGCTCTTGCACCAATTGTGGTTGCGACACCACCGCCACCACTGCCACCAAAAGAAGCAGCAGCCGTAGCACCTGAAGCGGCCGCCGATCCATGTTGAGGATCCATCATGATCACGGCGATGCCCTACACTTCAATGCACAAATGTGCGAATCAATGGAGGTGATAGGATCACGGCGATTCTCTTAGTGACCCGCACAAGTTGATTGCACCAAAATGGCAACTGGAAAGGCCGGGCAAGATACATGTCGAGTGCAGCGACAGCTAGACTTCAACTGAACCAATTCTTGTTTTTAAATCTGTGATGTGTCCGAATATGACATGTCAAAAGGAAGAGCTTCTGTTTTGATATTTTCCTTGTCCATTAAGACTGCACAAAGTGCATGCACACAAATTCCCAACATCACAATCATCACAACTCAACCCAAATCATTGCATCATTGCACGATCGAATCAAATAGCTGGATAGTCACTTGATATGATAGTCAGTCTTGTGATGACATAATTTTGTTGAATGTTGCTTCATCGTCACTGTTGATCAGTGATCAGTCGATCTGTGAATCTAAGTGCTGGGCTCCACTCTCCCCAGAACCAGCCCGAAGCCAGAGTATTGCAAATTCACCTCAATGATTCATTGATGGACTGACAGCTTGGTCAGCTTGGATATCGACGCAGTGAAACCAAACAAAGGCTGATAGACTATCATAGACACACTGGAGTTGATTGTAGATTGTAGATAGTGATGCAGTGATTCAGAGAGGATTGAAGAGAAATAAGTCGCGGTGGTCCAGTGGTGACCAGTAGTGGTGTCAAACGTTTCTGAGGTTTCTGTGATGGAATCTTGTGTAAAGCCAGCAAAAACAATTTGCGCACTGTCACTGTCACAATGTTGGATCCATTTTCTTCTATCATCTCGCGATTTCCCTGTGCTTTCAGTACGATAGGAACAATAATGGAGTAGAACTTTCCATTCCCAAGGAGCACTGGGCAGCACTGGGGCACAGCCAAGCGCCTAATGAAATGACACTGCGCCTTGCAGTGTCACAAGAAAAGCTCACGCTACTACTGTCTCTCTGCTCCTAGGTGACGGTCACCACAGGAAACTCTGCACTGCAAGCGGTACGGCGTCGAATTTGAAAGCAACAACGATTGTTTGATGTATAATTAAAATGTCAACTGGACAGTACAGTACACATAATTTCAACTTAAAGATATGTAATATTATTTGTTTCCAGATTATTCCATATCCAATGGTCCATTGACCACACCGACGCCGACCACACCGAATCCACATCTGACCTGTCCATCTGTCAGTTGCTCACAGCTGCACGAATTTGACATGTTATGATTGTCCTAAGGACAGCACAATTTTGGAGTTGGTCGTCCACTCTTGTGCGTGTGGTTCTTTAAGAAGACCTCATGCAAATTTAAATTAACTTTTGGTGACATCTGATCATCGTCGTCACCATCGTCTGATTCATCCTCTGCTGGTGGGTTTGCACTTGGCCGTAGATTGCCCACTACCCTAGCAAACCCCAACTTAAACATATGACGACTCATCTGGCCCATTGAGCTATCCAAGAGACAAAATGAAATCATTGTGGCCACAACTTCTGTATGCATGCTGTTACCAGCCTGTCCAATGGTAACCCCACGACTTGGAAATTTGGTCTCCGAAAGACCAGCAGTCCGCATAGCCCAGCTGCAGCAGGGAGTGTTGTAGGATAGTTCTTTGTCAATCGGGAAGCCTTGACACGTCAGTGCCTCTGGCGCCGTCAGCCACCTCTTGTGGTAGTCGGAGAACCATAATGTTCCGCTCTTTACCAATGTCGACATTTCCTGCGTGGCATGACCAGTTGTGTCATAAGGAAAAAGATCCTCATCATACATATTCGTTTCGTAAGTATATATGTGGCTGTGGTTTACACGTTGTATAGAATTGAATCAGAACTGAATATGTGGTTGTGATCACAACACCAGAAGATACAACAAAATGTTTCATGGCAATGGAAAACGGAACCTGTAGCCTGTAACTGAAACTGTAACAATGATTCATATAATTGGTTCATCCATTTAATATGTTGACGTTAAATTGCAATGACTAACTACACTGGTACATAGTACACAACCATTGCAAACATGAAACCATTGGTGATAATTATAATTGGTTATATGTCCACATGTTATGTCACCGTATGTTGTCACACCAGTCATTGGTCACTTGTCATTTACTTGTAATTCATATCCAATACCAACATGATTGTATTGAATTGACTGGCAGGCAGGTTATTGTTCAGCGCAACTTGTAACTTGTAGATGTTGAAGACACTAAGGTTACCATTCAGACTCAAACAAACAAAGCCATAGGTCGTAGAATGAGGATATAATTTATAATCATTTAGTTATTTAGTTAGTCACTGAGTCCGTGAGCGATCAAAATCAAAATCTAATCCCAACATGTTCCCATAACATGAGCATGTGTGTGTGTATGTGTATGTGTGTGTGTGTCCTGGTTCACTTTGCTCTTCATGCCTTTCACTCTCGGGTTCTGGTTCAGGCTGAACAAACCTTTGGGTGCAAGAGCCTTGTACTGCAGGTAGAAGTCATATTCATTAGCAGTGAAGCTCTCGATGAATGCTCTGGGATCACTGACATCCAATGATTCGCCATTGGCTCGGGAGCCAGGTCGGCCACATGACCAGTCCAGCTCTTTCTGCCAAACATCTTCATCTTCCCTGGGTTGGCATGGCATGGCATGGCGCTAACACAAAAGGTTAGTCAACCAGAAGGGAAAAGTAATGAATGAGGTGATTGGAATCATAATCAAAACCTGAAGCCTGAATCAATCAGTATCATCAGTAACATTGAGTACTAGCAACATGTGTTTAAATATTCCAAAGTCGACAACATTAACTATTATCAAGGTCAAAGAGCAGTAAGTTTTAAGCACAAAGAGCCTGGTCCTGGTAATTCAACTGTTCGAACACCAATGCCTAATCTAATGTCGAGTGAGTGAGTCTGACTGACAGATAAACTACGAACTGCCCTCCAGACCGATGATATCCAACAGTATCATTTCGCACGGTTGTGAGTTGTGAGCTGTGAACAAAACCTGCCAATAATAATAGCTAGACATGATAAATAAACAAAATGTTGGAATCCATACCACACCCAGTAGCTCCCAGAAAAACATCAGCCATGATTTGCTGAAGGGTCTTGCAAAGAGCTTGACAAAACTGTTGAGCGGGCTTCGCCATGGCATGGTCTTGTTCTTGTGGCGAAGCCTGATCCAATGCGACCCAGTTTGGCATTACCACGCAAATTTCTCACAAGACTTTCACAAGAATCTAATTGAATCGAAACAGTACTCTAAATCAGGCTATTGGCTTTATGCTTTAAGCAGCCAGCAGGCCCACTGGGCCCACTAGCCATTGGATTACGGGCTAATATCAATGTCAATACAATGATAGTGTGGTCCAACACGGTGCATTGCATGGTATTGGTATTGCTTGCGTGAAAAAAAAACAATCATAAAAATGACCAGTAATCTAATTCACAAAACACATCAAACTTTCCACTTCGAGCAACACACACCAGGAGCGACGTCGCAAGATAGGCCAACCAAGATCTGATGGTGACAGTACCACCCAATCGACATAGTACATTGGCAACTCATCCAGCAGTAACCATTCAGCAAATTCTTCGACACACTCATGGAGACACATTGGCTCCTGCAGCTTACGTCTCAAGGCTGCCCAAGTGAGGAAAAAGGAGATCGTAGGCCCATCAACCCCCTCTTCGTTCCCCATTGGGGAATAGTCAATACAGGGACTGCCAGTGATGTTCAATAGGGCAAGACCCCATCGAAGTAAGCTGCAGAGCTGTCCATTGTGATTCATGCACGGAGCTTCCCTGAGCGACGTGCACGGAATGAACTAATGGGTCCGGGTTTGATTTGATGGGATGGGTGTTAACCATCAATTATCACCAGTGTTGATCTGGTCATCGAATATTTGAACTCAGAATCGATATTGAGCAAATCTGACAAAACAAGTTTGGCAAATGGCAGATATCAACACTTTGCAACTGCTGCAACTGCTGCATGGCACTGCATGGCCCACATGGCCCACATGATTGTTCATTTGGAGTTTTCACAACGAGATGAATTCATGCAAACATACACATAGCTCAGAACTCATGAGACTCATGACTCATGACTGGGCTAGAGCCTAGGCAGTCTAGAGTATGCCAACGAATAAGACTAAGTCCAACTAAGCCCCTCACAACTTGGTAGCTTCATCTTGCTTGAAGATATTGCTCAAGATTTCCCGCGTCTTCCCAGATGCAGCAATCTTATTTTTCATTGTTCGGAAATATGAATGCTGGAAGCTGCATATGTCGCCATATAGGCACTCTGGTGCACTGGGGTGGATCTGGAGCTCAGTCTGTGACGAAGGGAACCATTCAATCGCATTGAGGTGCACTAGTTCACCGATCTTGGATTCTCGTTTTGCCGAACCATTCAGGTGACGCTGCAAATTCCGTTTCAAAATCCTGAAGTTCAACTCAGCAATTTGCTGAGACAGTCCTGTGCCAGGCGCATCTATCCCAGAAAATGCTGTGGAGATTGGAATTGAATCGAACAGCTTGAAGAGCTTCTTCAATCCTGGCACTTGTGTGGTCGGTGATGGTGGGCAAGGCATATCATCATCAGAATCTGACTCTGAGTCTGAACTACCAACGGAGCGATTGGGCATATGCTCCAGCAGTTTTGTAGTATGATATGTTGGCCACTGCATTGCTTCGTAGATGGTGCTCACTTTGCCATCTGTGTCTAGATGTGGCTGGTCAACTGGTGGGCCATGTGAGCTGCCATTCTCATCTACACCAAAGGCTGAACCAACATCATTCATTGATCCAGTGATACCACTTGGCAAGCTTTGTGTGTGGTCATCCAAAGATGGGCATGGACACACAGCAGGTTCGTTACCACCATCATCGTCAAGCGAGAATGGTGCCTCAGTAGACACCTCGACATCGTCATGAGGCCGTTTGTTTAGCTGTGGTTTGGACTGACCAGACTGACCAGGCTGATCAACACCAACACTAACGGCACCACTGGTGTCGGTGTCATCAGATTGATTGGCATCAGTCTTGACAGCACAACTCTTATCAATGACATCAACACCTGGAGTGGAAGAAGCCAATGATGGAGCAGAGATGTTTGGCACATCATCAGTCTCATCAGTGGTATGCCCTGTAATCTTCACATGCCCACTGTCACCACTGCCATCATCATGATCCGATGAATCCGTTTGCACATTTGCAGGCAAGGACTCAGGCCATTCAGAGCCAAGCGCTTCCAGTAGTACTTCACCCAACGCCTGCAAAGCTGCATCATGAGTGTCATGAGTGTCATTATCATTGTCATGATGGTTTTCGAACATGTCTTAACAATAATACTGAATATTGATTCATGCAATATGTGTGGAAACTATGATCTATGAATCTATCAGTCTATTAGTGTTGCCATTCAGTCACTATCTTCTACTATCTACTAATATATATATATATATATACATATAGGCTATAGTCACTATAGTCGGCCATAGTTTCCATAGTTGTAGTTGTTGTAGTTGTGATGTGGCTTGTGAATGTTTAGAAACTATCACACCAACAATCAGCAACCAATGCCAACTGATAGTTTTGTGGCCGAGTGGCCGAGTGGTGAACCACAAAAAAAAACATAACGACATTGAACCTGTAGTTAACATTTGTTAAGCTCAGTCCTGTTCGAGCGTCTCTTCCGTCTTTTCATTGGTCTGATCACCGGCGTCAATGGTTGTTGATTCATCCTTGCATTCCGGAAAGGGTGCTTCATCAGCATTGATAGGTACTGCCACCAGTGTCAGTTCAGAGGTGTGTGTGTCAGGCTGAGGCACATCATAATCACATCCCTCATGTTGATCAGGATCAAGCTCTGCAGGTTGAGTTGTGTCTGGCTGATTGCCCGTCTGACTCTCAACATGTGATTGCATAGTTCCAGGTTCAGGTTTCTCTGAGGACAGCTCCTGTCAATGATTGGGTCTACAAATGATTCCAGAAATAATTGTGAGAAATGATACCTAAACAAACAAAACACATCAGATGTCATGCAAGTTGATGCAAGTAGTTGTGCTTAGGCTTAGTGTTGTTGTTCCGTGTTCTTGTTTTTGTACTTCTTGCGACTAACCTTGATATTGTTTTTGTTATTGTTCTTGTCAGTGTTCTTGTTGCTATTGATGCCGATGGTGTCACGTATAACTAATGGTGTGTGTTCAACACCTTCACTGTCACCCCTTCACTAGCACCAAGCAAAACGCACCCAAACACAAACAAATCATTCACAATTGACACTGCTCTCCTGAACGATTGGAGTTGCACATGCAGCTTTTGCAGCTGGCTCTACCTTGTTGATCTCATCAGTCTCAGCAGTATCGGAAGTATCGACATCCTTGGGCTCAGACACGGGCTTGGACGCAACGCCTGTGGATTCTGATGACCGTGGTTGGTCACCACATGTCCCAGCCGCTGGATCAGACTTGCAAGTTGCTCCAGGAAACTTTAGCTTGCCCTGCTTGGGGTCATACTCCTCGTTCAACAAGGAAGACACAGGAACAGATGCAAACCCTGTACGAATCGATGTAGGTAGAACCAGATGTTCAACACAACGGCGCACTTTGGATGAACATGTAATTCCATTGATCTTACCTTTGAACTTCACACCACACTCACGGTCCAGGCTGTCTGCATTCATGTCCACAGCTAGGTTCTTGTGTGAAGAAGTGTTGGAAGACATCAAGTCAATGCCGTAGTCAGGATCTTTCAAGCAACTGCATTCCACATCTGTTGTGTTGATGAAACCCCACACTGATAGTGATTTCTGTGATGAAGATGAAGACGACCCACTTTCACGACGTAGCTCACCAAAATGGATTTGTTTCGGAAGATTCGTTTTCCTCAAAGCTGATGGCCTGTAGGGACAACACTAACAGACTGAATATTGAAAATAATCTAAATTATTTTATATCCAAACCATCTAAACGTTCACTACCTTGGTTGGAAACATGAGAATACTCCGCACAATGTAACAACACTTAAGTTTGTGTAGACGTAGCCTCAGCAGAGTACAAATCTCATTCTTCAGCAAGGCTTCACGCTCAGCTGCTGCACAAAGAATCACGATACCATCCGGCATGACTGGATACACGTAGTGGAACTGGATGTGGATATTGATCTGTTACTTATAATGTTGAGATTGTCATCTTCATCATCATCAACAACAACTAATACTATTATTATTACTACTAGTACTACTAATCCGGCTACGCCTACTACTACTGCTACTACTATTATTATTACTACTACTACTACCACTACTACCACTACTATTACTACTACTCCAGCAGCAGCAGCAGTGGCAGCAGCAGTGGCAGCAACAGCAACAGCAACAGCAACAGCAACAACAAAAAAAAGTTAACATCCAAAGGTCCAAAGGTATACTAACATATTTTGAAGAAATATTTTTTTCAAAATTTAATTATGTATTCATGTTCTAACTTATTGTTGTGACATATGTATTTGCATTTTTATGTGTGTGTGTGTTTTGAAGACATATCAAAATTAACGTACATTATGTGTATAAATCAATATCATTGCAACTAGTACATTCTGCATTATTTCCTTACAACTTATTCATTAACAAATATATTTATATATATATATATTTATAATATATATATATTTTTTATATATATATAAATATATATATATGAACATTGTATCATCAGCATATACTCTGACGATATGATATCATTTGGAGTAGTAGTGCCCTACCTAGCATACTTCCCTCTAGGGCACCAGTGCCCTACCTGGCATACATCCCTCTAGGGCACCAGTGCCCTACCTGATATACATCCCTCTAGGGCACCAGTGCCCTACCTGGCATACATCCCTCTAGGGCACCAGTGCCCTACCTGGCATACATCCCTCTAGGGCACCAGTGCCCTACCTGGCATACATCCCTCTAGGGCACCAGCGCCCTACCTGGCATACTTCCCTCTAGGGCACCTATGCCCTACCTGGCATACATCCCTCTAGGGCACCCATGCCCTACCTGGCATACATCCCTCTAGGGCACCAGTGCCCTACCTGGCATACACCCCTCTAGGGCATCAATGCCCTACTTGGCATACATCCCTCTAGGGCATACATCCCTCTAGGGCACCAGTGCCCTACATGGCATACATCCCTCTAGGGCACCAGTGCCCTACCTGGTATACATCCCTCTAGGGCACCCATGCCCTACCTGGCATACATCCTTTCAGGGCACCAGTGCCCTACCTGACATACACCCCTCTAGGGCATCAGTGCCCTACTTGGCATACATCCCTCTAGAACATACATCCCTCTAGGGCACCAGTGCCCTACATGGCATATATCCTTCTAGGGCACCAGTGCCCTACCTGATATATATCCCTCTAGGGCACCAGTGCCCTACCTGGCATACATCCCTCTAGGGCACCAGTGCCCTACCTGGCATACTTCCCTCTAGGGCACCAGTGCCCTACCTGGCATACATCCCTCTAGGGCACCAGTGCCCTACCTGGCATAAATCCCTCTAGGGCACCAGTGCCCTACCTGGCATACATCCCTCTAGGGCACCAGCGCCCTACCTGGCATACATCCCTCTAGGGCACCTATGCCCTACCTGGCATACATCCCTGTAGGGCACCCATGCCCTACCTGGCATACATCCCTCTAGGGCACCAGTGCCCTACCTGGCATACACCCCTCTAGGGCATCAATGCCCTACTTGGCATACATCCCTCTAGGGCATACATACCTCTAGGGCACCAGTGCCCTACATGACATATATATCCTTCTAGGTCACCAGTGCCCTACCTGGTATACATCCCTCTAGGGCACCCATGCCCTACCTGGCATACATCCCTCTAGGGCACCAGTGCCCTACCTGGCATACACCCCTCTAGGGCATCAGTGTCCTACTTGGCATACATCCCTCTAGGACATACATCCCTCTAGGGCACCAGTGCCCTACATGGCATATATCCTTCTAGGGCACCAGTGCCCTACCTGATATACATCCCTCTAGGGCACTAATGCCCTACACATGTCCTACCTGATACACACCCCTCTAGGGCATACATCCCTCTAGGGCACCCATGCCCTACCTGGCATGCATCCCTCTAGGGCACCAGTGCCCTACCTGGCATACATCCATGTAGGGTTAGGGCCCCAGTGCCCTACCTGGCATACATCCCTATAGGGCACCCATGCCCTACCTGACATACACCCCTCTAGGGCACCAGTGCCCTACCTGACATACATCCCTCTAGGGCATCAGCACTCTCCCCTCTAGGGCACCCATGCCCTACTTGGCATACATCCCTGTAGGGCGCCCATGCCCTACCTGACATACATCCCTCCAAATCACCACTGCTCTACCTGGCATATGTGTCCTAGTTGAGATGAGTTTTGGGGCAGTAGTGCCCTAGCAAATATAAACCCACATGGGGCGTTAATGCCCTAGCTTATCTTAGGTTACCTTTTGGGGAGGTAGTGCCCTAGTTTGCATGATGCCTTTTTTTGTAGCAGTAGTGCCCTAACATTGATGTATTTCCAGTTGGGGCACTAGTGCCCTTATTGGTAATCAGCTAGCAGTACCGCCCTAGCTGGCATACATACTTATAGGTTACTATTGCACTAGCTGATATATAGTTCCCTAGGGCACTAGTGCCCTAACTGTTCATATGTTTCATGTGGGGCAGAGGTGCCCTAGTTGCACTCAAAATGCCATTAGATGTAGTTTAAGGATTTCAATATATATATATTACATACATGCATGTACGCGCGCATACAAAAATATATTCACATACTTTACATAGAGACATACACACACACATGCACACACAACACAGATACATATATACATGCAAAAACACCAAACACATACAATAAACAACAATGCATACATAATACATATGTACATATGTTTTTATCCAAGCAATACATGCATTATCATGCATTTTTATGCACATGCATATATATGTATCTCACATGCTGCAAACAAAGAACATATATAATAACAAATACAGATTAATTCAGACGTGATTGCTGGCTTTGTTATTACAGCAATTGTAAAAGAGCTGAATCACCACTGATCCTAACATATGTCAAACAACAATATCACATATGACATGTTAAAAACATCGCAAACAATACATATGCAATGCATGCAGCAATGTAATTCAAAAACTACCAATACATATATTAATTATGAATCAAAAATCATATATATACAGTTGGCACAATAAGTTGATAAAACAAAGCAAACAGTCAGACAAACCAGATATGCAAGATGCAGCACGATGGGGCCACAATCATAGCAAAGCACCGACCAACTACCATCATTACCATCATAAAGTATGATCAGATTGAGAGTCAAAAGCAAAAACACATACAAACAGCGCCGCATGTTTTTCTACCCAAGTACAGTGCAAGGTACTAGCCGCCAAATGTCAAATACAAAAATCAGATGCAATGTCTTGTGTACCAGACCTAACTACCCACCCATTCCCAAACATATACATACATACTCACAAAAAATGTACTCTCTGTCTGTGCGTCGTGCGCCATGCGCTATGTATTGTATGCTAATGCATGTTGCTGGCGCAAAGCTCTTTGCATCCATCATGGTCATCAATGATTTATCATGAATCATATACATATGGTTTCGAGTGCTCTGTGTGTAGGATCTTACAATTGCGTACGTAAATATACTGTCGCATGTATGTATGCACATCCCTTGCCAACAAGTGCACACATCATTGCACATTGCACACCATGGTTATCATGATCAGTATGAATAATGTTAATGTTTAGTCTAGCCATGGGTCATGCGCCATTGTCAATTGATACAACAAAATCAAAACAAGACAAAACAAACATAGGTTAGGTCACCCATCAGCCCACCGGCCATGTTTCTTGCATTTTCTGATGAATATATGTTCTGCTTGTCAACTGTCAATTGCCTGATGTAATGTGCTGTGAGAATCATGTAAATGCCATCTTGTTCCACTGCACTGTTCCACATTCCGCTATCCACTGCTCCTGACTCCTACTTCAAAAAGCAGGAAGCAAACTGTAAGCTGAGCCACACATCACTGTGGAATTGGTGGTTCCAACAAACCACTTTCAACACCACAAACAAATATCATTGTAATCTTGACTCTTGCACGCATCCAAAATGAAAAGCTTGACGCACAACAACATTTCCAAACAAACCACTGCTCATTCAAAACAAAAACACAAGTTCAGATGCCACACAGCCGCGCACACACACACACCACATGTATATGATTCTAAATTCTAAAACCATATGTTATTTAGTTCCTTCACCAAATATTGTTTGTTGTTCATTAGCTGATCGTCACTGATCGACTGATAGATTACAAAACTGTACATCTTTGCTTGGCTGAGTCATTGAGGGCTTGGCTGAAGGTCTCAAGATCAGAGACAACTCGTATTGAGAAACGATGTACAAGGCCGGCCTGTCATTGCCATAGAATCATCAATGATTTGAATGAAGGAACGACTCCAGGAACGACTGATCAATTATCAATTTGTCATATTGTTTGATATATAAAGTATAGTCATATTCCTTCATATCAACAACTGACTACTGATAACAAATCACGCTCACCTCAGTCCACTTGGTATTGAGATCTCATGAAACCAAAAGCTCAAACCGTTAATCATCAATACAAAAAAACATATGTGGAAAACGTTGAAAAGACTGAAAGGCTAAAAGGCTTAAATGCTGACATGTAGTTGAACCTAACCTGCCTTCACAACTTAGCAAGTTTCAATCGATTCCCAATACCAACTGACTGTCCGACCTCAGCTTGTTGTGGCCGATAGTGATACTGACCTCAGCCATATATTTGGCGTTTGCCATTTGGCTAGGGGTTCATATGTTGTATTGGTTCTATTATTCGCAAGGTGATAGTATTGGACTGGCATGGACGGCATGAACAAGGCAAAGGCAAAGGCTCATGCCCTGGAACATTGAACATTGAATACCAAATACCGGAAACAAACAGTCCAAGCAGTTCCAACATTCCAGCATTCAACACCGCCAAAACAACTTTTTTCCCATCAGAATCTGGTCGACGCGGTCATTATGCCAATGCGAACAACCACAGTCACACTGACAAGTTGTGCTTGCGCCTAGTCCCAGGTTTCTATGCTCCTATGTCTTATGCTTGTTTGTGTTTGGACTCGCTCCCTCAAGATAGGATATGATAATCTTACTTACACTAATTACACTAAGCATTCCGAACCCAAGTCCGAGGAAGCTGGGAAGCGAATCCTACACTTGAATGGAAACCTTGTTTGGCCGGCTTCCATCATAATCTAAGCATCTAATCACGGCAGTTCTGTATTGGGTCGTTTAACCCAAACATTGCCAAACATTGAAAGCTTTTGATCTAAACATGAACTATTCCGGGAATCATCAAGCCATACATACAGACATACACAGGAAGTTCAAACAATAGCAATAGCCAATAGTGGCAATCATCAAACTCAAACACTGTGCAATCACAAGCAAGGTGGGTAACAACAAACAACAATAGAGTTCTGAGTCAAGCGTTCATGTTTGTGACACCTAAGGTTCCTAGTGTCAGAAAGAACTTGAGTCACACAGATATCTCAAAAGATCAAGTTTACGATGTGGTGCTGTCGTCATCATGGGCGAACCTGCCATCATTGATTTGCTGATGTTGATGTGACTGATGCATGCTGGAATCGGAGCAGCATGTCATCTTTGACATGGCTCTCAGCCTCATCAATCGGCCACGACTGTTGCTTGCAGGCATGATAGGCTTTTTGATACGGAAGGCATTCACATTCTTGGACGTCTTGAAATCTCTAGACTTCCTGGACTTTGATTTCTCCAACCGTTTGGACCTCTTGGGTAACTTCTTGACTTTAATGGTTTTCTTTGTAGCTCCCGGCTTGTCACTCCCACTCTGACGAAGATGGTCACCATTGGCACCATCATAATGGTTGTCATCATTATCATCATCAGTTGGTGGGAAGCAGGCATCGAGCTCCTTACAAATCGGGCATGAACACGGTTGCTCACATTCACTTGGTGAGCTTGGAGGATGATTGGGTCTGGTTGATGGATCACTAAGCAAAGGATCCTGGCATACATCACGATATTCATCTTCATCTTGATCATCATGCGATGAATCGTCCGACTGCATTGGTTTGGGATGGATCCAAGCCGGAGAGATGATGGCTGTGCTGTTGTTCATCACTAGCTGAACCACACAACTCTGGGATCCAGTGTCAGCCAACTGAACCACACCTCCACCGCCTGTGTGTGCTTGGCTCTTAGGGAATGAGTATGCCCAATGAGAAACCACGGCCGCTGTTGCTGCCATTGCAACCACGTCACTACAAATCTAAACGAACCCAAACAAACCTGGGAAACAACCTTGCTCGACTTGATTTGAGCACACACACACACCGCGCTGGTTCGAGACAATGACTGAGAACTGAGACACCCAAAACAACGAACTGAAAACTAACACAAATCATGCTTGCAATGCTCAGACTCATTTGTATGCAGTGGCGTGAATCAGAACAAGCAAAGCAAATTGAGTAATCTGCACTTCATCACAAACATCAAAGCTAAAAGCGAAAGCAACACCCTCACCACCACCAAAGCCAAGGCCATGACATAGCCATCCATGCTGTGCACAACTGACATATCACGCCGTCATCTCCAGGCCTCATGTTGATCCGTAATGAGCGGCAACTGGTGAATCTGTCAGACATCAGTCTCAGTCTCAGTGAGGAAAACTGAAAGTGACATCATACTCACAAATATCAACTGCCCTAAACAATGGACAATGTAGTCTAGTAGTCTAGACTGTCGATGTCACTGTTGCAACGTGTCTAAGAGTCTAAGCGGCAAATCGGTGAGACATTGATCGGTAAGAACTGAGATCAGCACATGACTGCACCGTGTTTGATGCCAGCCAGTGGATGATGATCACGACCATCTTGTCCATGAAGGTCCCTTAGGTATGCCCGGTAAGCTGGCACCGCTGGCGAACATATAATCAAGCACAAAAGGCAACAACAATGGCAAATGGGTTTCATGTTTCTTATTTCAAACCAATACCTTCCAAAGAACCAAAAAAACATCAGCGACGCAGCGACGCCCCCACACACAGCCCAGTCACATGCCTATCTGTAACATGACATTGGCCACACGATTGCAACATATAATAGTCTAATATCTAATTATATCTAACCACTGACAGCTGGACAGCAAATGCAGTGCTTGAAGGCTATTCAAACTTTGAGGCATTGAAACTTGAAGCTTGGGGCTCCGACCGTTTGAGCGGTGACTGCAGCAATATTGATGGCACCATGTCCAAAGTAAATTCCGTTGCCTCAAATTTCCTCAAGTCCCTCAAGCCAGGTGAGTCAGAGCTAGTAGGGCGTCCAGCACTCCCATCTAGAAAGCGTAAGACAGACTCACAACATTTGCGATGGGAATGTAAAAGACATATCATGCACTTGAAGTCCGACCCTGTTGTCGATAATGCTTGTGGTTCGTCGTCAAAGACAAGAGAACAAATGAAACAATGTTCGTCATCACCCTCAAAGCCAGTTGTGGGTGGTGCAAAGGCAGCCTCACACATTGCCTTCAGCCGCAGCATCTCTTCTGAAACACGTTCACGGTAGGTGCGACTTCTGCGCATGGTAGCCCCAATTGCTGGATGGATGATATGATGAAAATGTTCCTCATTTTTGATGAAGTTTGGAGTGTATACAATCCCACCATTGGTGTCCAGTGTGAATGGTTTCCCTAACCTTCGTCTGGAATCCAACCAGTGAACCCAAAGCACTCTGACACCACTAGCACCACGACCACCACCACCACCGTTGTCGTCAAGACTGTTCGGCGATGATGATGATGTTGATGATGATGTTGAAACGCCACCAAACGAAATCACTAGTGACCCTTGTCTGTCGTTGCCATCAGGGCCCCCGACTGGACAGCTTTGGCATGCATGGGCACGTTGTCGTAACACAGCACATGATTGTCTCACTTCGGCCGACCACTGACTAAAGATCAATTCATATGTTGTGTTGTTGAGGTGTGATGTATCAACATAAGAAGTCGACACGATAGAGTCAGAGGTCTCTCGTTGCTGGGCACATGGCTTCGCTGGCCTCGAAGCTGCATTCCTGGCAACACACTTCATGTCATGATTTCCTTTAGGGCTGCAGGGTTCATTAACATTCGTTGGTGTTACAATGTAGTGATGATGTAGTTGATGCAAGATCCAATACCAATCAATGCAGTCAATGACAAAAACAATCAAAACAAACAAACGATGATGCAATTGAACCCCCCTGTTGAACGATAGAACATTTTATTTACATCATTACAAGATGCTGTACTGTGAAATGTTACATCAGGAATCATGGACCATGGAAGAGCGAATTAGTGGTGGTGGTGTATGTCACATCTGTGTTGCAGTAGGTTCATTTGTCATGGCCACAAATGGTTTCTCAAGATGACTCGACCAACACCATAGAAACGAAACAATGAAACAATCCATATCATGACTCAAAATCCCCCAACATGAGCTTGCCTGCTCAAAGAAGTCTGCACAGCATTCAACTCAAGCTCTTCCGGCGTATAACAAGATGCACCTCCAAAAACAGGTACCTCAACACTTTCAGGGAGCAAGCCCTTAGCCCTAGCAGACCTGAGCGCATTGCCTCCTGACTCATGCGCCACTTCCTCAGCCTCGTTGTCTTCCGGACCGATTGTCTCAGAATCCTCTGTCCGATGACCCAAAGAGAGACCATCATCATGAATATCAGCAGCATCATTTACCAATTCATCTAGCAAGTCACTGTTGTCACCATCACCCATCCCAGCATCGACACCGACACCACTGCTGGACTCAGCTGCAACATCAGAGGAATCAAATGTCTTGGTCACTTTTGATTGCCTGGTTGCTGGATATTGTCTGCGTGGTATGTTGGAAGGGTCCAAATCACACACCCTCATGGGTCTGCTTGCAGAACAAACCCAATCTGCAGTGGTTGCATCACACAAAGTTGCAACTTCCAAAGGGCTTGTCACGACCGTCAACTTGCTTGGGTATCGAAGGGCTTTGATAAAACAATCTAACGATCGATGAGAAATCACTGGTTGTTGTAACGAAACATGAACACGACCGTCATTGTCCGCAAAGAGCTTTGCCTCCAACATCCTCGCCTGCACAGTGCACAGGGGCACCGATATGCTGCATGAGTGACCATGAGTGCTTGCCAGCTTGCGAAGGGGTGCTCACCACATAATTCAAATCCAACACTATCAACTTGAATGTGTTCAGATTCAAAAACCACACATGATCACATGAAGGGAACATTACCAACTGTCACCAGTCAACAGTCAACAGAGACCACGATTCAGTAGAGCCCAGATTGAACTCTAAACAATGGAGTCACAACCGTCAGAAATGCCAGAATCCTATCGCCTATCGACCCTATTCAAATCACACTCAGATTCACATCACATCACCTGTAAATCTGTAAGTTGTAAGACCTATAATAAGTAGTTACTATAAGTATAAGTATGTGATTGCATGACGTGGCTTAAGAAACGCTGTTCCTAGACATTCCTAGAGAGCACTAAACCAATGAACCGCCGGATGGCCTGCATGGCATGCACTTCGCCCACAATGTATGCACGCACTGCGTCACCGACAGTCAGCAAAGACTTCTTACCACGAGCACGGACACTTGCTGTGGCACTATTGCAGAATGCAAGGAGCATCAACTGACTCCGTACTGTGCCATACTCACGGAACCACTCCCTGTGGAAAAACACAGCTGCTGCCACACCCTGCTGGTCTCTCTTAGGCAAGGACGAGAATGGTCGTTCACTGACATTCAACATCATGTTGCTGGAAGCCTCAAAGTTGCGTAGCGCTGGTGGGCAAACCCATCTGTCCATCCTTTGTACCCACCGATCCGTGTCTCGAAGCAGTGGCAATAATCTTTCTGATAACATCAGTGCAAATGGTCTGATTTGTTTGAATGATTTTGCTTGTGTGACCCGTGGCTGTATCCGCCGTGGCTGATGTCCTTGACCGACACTACTGCTAGAAGTTGTGACAACACTGGCGCTGTCAACTCTGTCATCAGCAGATGCGTGTTCATCGGCTGTGAATCCCACATGTTTCTTCAGCAGCACACGAGCCGACAACAGTTCCAAAGAAATGTTCGGAGACTCTTGGCAAACCCGTTTCAATAAGGAGTTTATAGACTCCATGAGCACGACATGTGGCTTTAGCAATCGTGCTGCCAGAGAAAGGCCTGCATACAAGATGCCTTTGGGGTTGATTTTCCCTGTGTCAACCATGACGCTAAGCTCTGGCCAACACCGTCTCCTGCAAACTTGAAGTGGGCTGGCTGGGCTGGGCCAGATCTTTGTCTGTGGCAGTACGGGTTTTGATTCTGATTTGAGGCTTAGGGATAGACTGAATGTGGCAATGTGATATGTTGATGGTGGTAAATATATTATCCACAAAAAGTCGTCGATGGACTGCCTGACTACTAAACCGTTTGCAACATGGAATTTTGACAACAAACCAAAACCGTTAAAACATAACCATAACTTGTGGACCGGCATCATAAGAATCATATGTTGTCACAGATCGCTACCCTGGCTCATGGCTGCATTATTTGTACATTTGTTCAAGTATATGTTTTGAAAGATGGAGTCCATGATGGAGCGACACTAGTCTTCTGCATATCTGAAGCGCCATGCTTACACATGTCATGTCGACGTACATTTGATGTCATGTTTGAAAGTCTGAAACCTGCTACCGCCTCATCACGTAGACGTAGTACCAATCCATGACTCATGGAATCCATGACCCATGATCCAACAGCTATATGAAGTGAGGCTCAGGGTCTACGCAATTTACATTGCCCCTTCTCGTTGTCTGCACTCAACAGACAACAGACTAAACAGCACTCGGTCCATGTAGGGCTAGGGCCAGGGCCTTCACAAGATAAATGCTGTAAATGCAATAAACACATAAATTCGGAATATTTTGTGGGCCCGACACAGAGGAAACGTTACAGTCCAAGAGCTAACCATCAACTAAGTAAGTGCCAACCTTAGAAACACATGTAAAATGCAAACCAGAATGTTTCAAAAGGATTTCAGGCTGATTGTTTTCATCACTCATCCTACATGCTCCCGATCCATATTGCTCCTGATTCGTCTTGCGGTGGCATGAAGCGATGCCATAGGAGAATCCAATAGCTCAGCAGCAACTCCTCAGAAAACAATTATGTACGGACTTACAACTTTCCACTGTTCTGAAAATCTGAAATTTGAAAACATCAAACAAAACATATTTCATCTGATTTATTGAGGTTCAGGTTCAGTGGCGGCCACAAAAAAACATAAAGACAAAGAACGTTAAGAAAGTTAAGGTACAATCCCCAATTTAAAACAGAAGCCATATATATTCAAATCGATGCACAACTAAAAAGATTACATAAAACAAAGACGCACTTAATATGATGTCAAAAGAATACATCGAGTTGATATCAAAATTCATGCCTCATGGCTCATATGTTTAAATGTTCTGAGTTCAAATTCAAAGCTAATGCAAATGCTGACAAAACAATCTGTTTATTTCAATCTCATGGTCTTTCGCTTTTTGTTCTGACTATTAGTCGATGATTCGATGATTGCCAATGTTTTTTCCCAGAACCATTGCCACACCAAAAATACATTTGTATGCTGATGCTTTTAGGTGCCCCCGCGCATACGACTGGGCGATGGCTCACTACACGGGTCATTGATCAACCAGAAGAGCTGGTATGGCATCCTGAGCAGTTAACCCAAACCAATCAGTATCAACAAACGGCCAACGGCAGTGGCAGTAGTAGCCGCCAATTGGCCAATTGGGAAGAACGTGGTACTGTGGTAATGGTAATGTGCTACTAAACGAAACAAACACAGACTATAATGTTAATGTCATTTATATTTTGTTGGTTTTGAATTCAGGCATTCATGATTGATTGAATCACCACGTGATTTTGCTTTTTTGATATCATGTATTGTATCTGCATCAGTACACAAAATCATTTCATGCAATTCATGGGGCTCATGAGTCTGTGTCATCCAATGAGTCAATGAACAATGAACAATGCTCTCAAAAACCCCCTTCTGAACAAGAACATGCGACACCATTGATCCTTGAGTCAATTTGAAAAATAAGCTGAATGCCGAATGCTTGCTTCGATATGTTACATCAAAAAAATGTACTTCACTTCGAAATCATAGTCTTACTAACATAGCATGCTGGGTGTAGAGCACCCGCTGAGCACCCCGCCCGCTGATTGATTGACTACACATGACACATGTGACAAATATCATATACTCAATCCCTATTCAATTTGTTTCCGACCAGAAACTATCGTGTTAACACAGCTAAAAAGAAATCAATCATATAATCATGTTATGTTTATACATAAGTCCGATTCCAGGGTTCCAGGACAAGGGATACTGATGTGTGAAGCAAAAAGTTTTCAAGAACACAATGACAAATATAAGTTTGGACAATTGGCATGATTAGGATCATGGTCCACGTGTTCCTCAATACAAGTGAGTACCGCACGTGTGTGCCAAACCGACTTCTAGAATAAGTTCATAGGGTCCGCCACAAGAATGTCAAACCAAGGTTCGATGTGACATAAGCATATATACGTCTCTCATATGCTGCAGCATTATGCAATGCCATTCTGATTGCGACTCCAGCCAACTGACCCTGAACCTCCTCTGTCATTCTTTGAGCTGCCCCTGATTCAACAATACATGCAGTGACCCAGGATAAATCAGTCGTCAGCAGTTGCAGCTGCTTAAGGAATTCATAAGCTTTGCCACATGTGAAATGGAGCATGGGGGTTGGTCGCGGCTTCTGAAGCCATGCGAAGCATGACATCAACGGTTCCTTTGCCTGAAAGCTTGCAGTGACCATGAACCAAAACACCGTGTCCTTCACTAGTTGGTTTGCCGATCGCATGTACCTCCCCAATCGTTCCTGAAACTGATTGTACTCATCAAGAGCTATCTCATCAATCGGTGCAGAAGTGGAGCCGCATCCTGTGGCCCCGCTGGAAGTGGCACATGGTTTTTTCTTCCGTTTAGATCCATAGACTTCACATGCATGACAAAAAGCCTTCTGAACATTTTCGACACCTATGGCCAAGAGAAAGGCTTCCAACTCATGAACACATCCCCACCGGGCTGCACAGGGGGCAGGCGGCAGCCTGAGGGATGCAAAATGATCTGAAGGAAACTCTGACATAATGACGCTGGGCATTGATCTCCAGGAATGTATAAGTTTGGCCAGTGAAGACCAATAACGGTACTCTGACCCAGTGTCAGCCAGACACGTATCCATGAGAGAAAGTTGAGATCCGACAATCAAATTGAATTGGTGCACTAGGCATGAAATGTCAAAGAACCAAATCTGCGAGAAATGGTCTGAGTCATCATCATCCACTTCTCCTTTGCAGAGGTGGGACAACAGCATCAACCGTTGTGCCCGCTGATCACTACCAGCGTCCTCTGTCACACAGAAGATAAAGACTGCCTTGGGATCGATGTGCTGTGTCCTGGCGTAGTCAGGCCAAAATCAAAAATTGGTGCGACATCATCATCAATCATAACCATAACCCACTTCAACTTCAAAATACAACTTCACACTCGCAAGGGTCATCATCATCGTCATCATCATCGAATCATCATAGTGAGTGATTGTGACTGATCAACTGGTCTACAGTCTACAGTCTACAGTACATTATAGGCCCTACAAATTGGGCAATATAAGTTCAAGATTCAAGGTTCAAATGTTGACAACTAGTAATAATTGTTTCGTTGAATAGTTGTCGCAGCCACAGCTGATTTATGCCCTAGTGCATAATCTTGAACATTGAACATCTGGCACATTGTGGTAGTGTTAGTGGTATTCTTGTTTCTCTATATTTTATATATGTCAGTCAGTCTGTCTCAGATGTCTCTGTTTGACTGTTTGAGTCTCAATCTCAACTTTTGCTCAGCAAAGACACTGCAACAAACATAATTAAACATATATAATATATGAAACTTAGAAAATGTTTCTTAAAATTCAACAGGAGAATGAACTCATATTACTTATATAACATAAATTCACAATACAATATTTACATGAATCATTGTAAACAATCAACAATAAACAAAAAACTGTTAAGCTACAGACTTTGTGATTTTCTGATTTGTGGAAATCGAGTCACACACACACCAAGTCACATTGATTCACACACACACATGGCTGGATGTTCGCCGTAATGACATCCTTGGGATTCGAAGCAATGTAATGCTATTACTTTACCAGGTATACCATGACCCATGACCACTGTTGAATTCATGACTCATTGTGGGATTGAATATTTTGAGTGTCAATTCTATATGATCTTTGGGCCCTTGGGCTTTCTAGTAAGGAAACACGAGAAAACGGGTAGCTGTTACATTGGACAGCTGCAGCAGCAGCACCACCTGTCATGTCTGTCACAGTCACAGCCATCATCACATCAACATCATCAACATCAAACCTACATCAGGCGTCATCCGTGTCATCATCTAACCACCCAATGATTCAGCATCATCTTGATTCCAAAGTAATTCAAAACCAATTCAAACTGGCACCGTCACCGTCATCTTAATCTTTAATCTTCATACATCACCATTCAACTCGTCAACACTGAACACTGTCACTATCAAAATCATCACCACCATCATCACCATCACCATCATCATACTCATCAATACTCAATGCGACTCATGCATGCAGTGTACGTCGCACTATGATCCATTTCAGATTTCACAATCCACTGACAATCCACTGATGTGTTTTGAAACCCGGAACCCGGAACCCCGAACCTTCCCAAGGCAGAGGCATGGGCACATGAAAAAAAAAGACATATTGACCTAGTGAGCCTAGTGACCGAATCAAACCAAGTCTGATCTGACCAGCCCGCATATATATATATACACAATTATTTATTTATTTATTTATTCATTTATCTATTTATTTGTTTTTTTATATTTATTATATTATATATCTAAGGCATATGTGTGCTAAGCAGCACATTTACTACAGAAAAAAGTCAACAAACAATAGAGTCAGCTTTTGCAATTGGCTTTGTCCGCTTTGTCCTGTGCAAATTGCCAATGTCCTCCCACGACGGCATACCAATGGAATGTAGTTGTTTCAAGATGATTGCCAAACTCCCTTTGGCAGATCCAGAACCAGATGCGACTGGTAGCACATCAGACCTGAAGCCGGAAGTCGGAAACAAGACATCTGCATTAACATGGGGACGGTGACGGTCAGGCAAACTGATGGGATCAAATCCGGGATCAAATTGAAAATTTATTAGGCTAATAATTTATCTGCTCTGTCTTTGCTGTCTTGCATCAAATGAGCAAAAGCAAAAATTGGATTTGAATGGAAAATGTATGACCATAGGGGTAGTACTGGTCTGGACCGTCGTGGTTGACAAGTTGACAATGTTGTTTTTTTCAACTGATCAACTGTGTGGCTAAGCTTGGTTCAATATAAGCAATCAAATCAAAACATTGGCTCCTACTACCTACTACCCCTTCTGCCCTACTGCCTACTGCATACTGAGTGCCACTCCTTGTATTAAAGACTAAATTTTAAACACTAAATTGGATCCCAATCCAAAGATGAATCATATTCATGACTATGTGTGTGAATGATTGGTTTTACATGTTCCGTTCATAAATGTAAATCAAATCAGAAACCCGTTCGACTCTATAACCAAGTTTCAGGCTACTATTACAGCCAGAACGAAAGTAACGTAACAACCATATGTTCCAACGAAATCAAGAGACATGAAGGCATGAATCTCGAAAGCCTTATCCAGATTGCCAGATGCAAGTGCTGTAGCATCTACCAGGAGCCCTCCATGGACCACTGCAGTGGTGAGTTTCTTCCGTTGCCATATAGTGCTATTTGTGGCATCATTCTGAAGAGATATCCCAGCGACAGAAAGCCCACCAGTCAAATCACCCATAAATGGATTGACAATGGGTAATGGAAGTTTCACCCAGGAAAAAAATGCTTCCAAACGCTCTCTCACGGAATCTTGCTCTTGTTCACGGTCCTGTCGTAGCATGAAGGGCTTCATGAGAAACAATTCTTGTTGCAGGAATGGAATCGCCAGTGGTCGAACAAAGAATGTTTTGGATTTAGTCAAAGCCTGCACAAGTGCATGTCCAACCAAAGCCCCCCGTATCATACACGCCGCCGCACTGTTGACTTCACAACGTGATACTGTCTGCCTGCTGATATCACTCCATGAAGCAGCTGGGAACCCCAGCGCCGAGCAAGAACTCAAAGACATTCTGAGGGCTACCGCAATGCGTCCAGAATCACTCAAGTTCCTATCACCCCTTGCCTTCTTGTCGACAGAAAGTTGGCCCTGACTCTGTGAGTTTGCAAATGCCTGTTTTTTTTGAAAGCCTTCAATGTTTTCACATTTGCTTCCTCATGAAATCCTTTCAACTTCTTTTGCAAACCCCTTATCATTTTGTTCTTTGAAACACATGCCTTCTTCAAGATTTCATTTGCTCTTTCCAACTTGGCAATTTGTTGCCTCATCTGTTGCTGTTGCTTTTCATGTTCTTTTTTTGTGGACACATTGACATCAACACTGTCACAACTTTGGCTCCGTTGGAGTGCTGAAATTGAAGACAACGAGTTGGAATCGTCAGACAAACCAGAGGTCGAAGACGACCCCAATCGGCCCAACCGTGAAAATACAGAGTCAGACATAGAGATGGAATCTGCACTTTCAACTTGACCCTGACCAGGCCCAAAACCACTCGGTTTGGACAATACTGCTAACTTTTTTGTAGACATCGACAAACCACACATATCGGCCCATTCAGTTTCATTACATTTGATTCCCAAGCATCGACACAGTTGTGGAATCAGGCGTAGCGGATACATGAGATTGACCTTGCCACCAATATCCACTCGCAAAGCCTGAGCGTTTCGAGTCACATGTTATCAATACAATAATACTACAATATTAAGTACCAAGACCAAACCTAAACCAATCTGAACTTAACCTCAACTGAAGTGAGTGAAAACGTCTGAGAACGTTGATCTCAGCATCGTATCAATGTCAAAGTTAGTGAAGAGCCGAAGGGCCGAAGGGCTGAAGGGTCATGGTAAGGAATCTAAGAATCTAACAAACTAAAGTAACATTAACACAACTGAACGTCGTCTCTGGTCTCTGCTCTGCTGGCTTGCCTTAGATTGCTTTAGATGCCAGACTTGATTTGCCAGACTTGGCAAACATGAACCATGAGAACAGATACCAACACAATACCAATACTGACTAATGTTGGTACAAGATGTTTACATTTTATTCATGCCTGAGCCTAAGGTCAGGCAAAGATTTGTTGCGCTGTGCCAGTTTGTCCTGTCCAGTCCATAGGCCTATAAATCCATAGTTAAGCCAGGCTACTAAACCATTTGTGACTTGTTCAAATGGTGAAATGTTCTCATGTGATTCATTGTGAGTTTGTGAGTGTGGTGTGGATTCTGGATTTCGATTTGACTTTGTGACGAATAAGTCGAATAAGTGATAATAACAGCAAGTTAATAAGAGTGAGACATGTGATGGCATATCATGAAACAATGAACCAGTGAGAAGTTACTTTTTCCTCCTTGTTGATAGCAAGTGCAAAAAAAGATTGTACAACAACATAATTACAATATAGGAACAAACTGAAAAGCACATCACCACAAGTCTCAAGTCCAGCCCACTCCACTCACGGCTCAAGTGGCTCAAGTCCCAACCCCGAGCAAGCCACTGTAAGGCTGTAAGGTAGTAAAATGGTGTTGATTTTGTGTGATTGATGGAGTTGATGTTGCACAACATCAAGAAACAATCAAATGCTATGCTATGCTATATTGTGTTTTACGAATTGCACGTTGGATCTCATTGAGTCATTGATATTTTTTGTCACTAGTCACAGAAATTTGGCATCTTGAAACTTTGTTGGTAGCGATGTAAGTCGCAGTTGCCCAGTTGCTCATTGGCATGCCACCCCCCCCCAAACAATGGCCTTCGCTTCGAACTGCTGCACAGCCGACAGGAGACGATTCCGAGGTACCCTGGACTGTGCTGCTTGCTTATGCACGGCTTCAAGAAAAGGTAGCAACCTGAGCAGGACAAACTATGTAAGTACTCAGCACAACTCGGCCCCACCAACATGTTAACATCTAAACAAGTCAGAGGCGGAGCGGTTGACAAGTAGTGAGTTGCTAGCCCCACAATGTTACAATGTTGGTCTGTTTCTCTCATGCACATGTATTCAGACCTATAGCATGAACTTAGCATGGAAGTGCAGACCACCATACTGCCACTTACGCACTGCGAAGCCAGAATGAACAGACTAGCGACAGAAATTGTACTCAACAATTTCAGATAAGGAACGAACTCTCTGAACATATCAGTTCATGATCCCCTTTGCCAGCCAGGTCAACTTTGACACTCACGTGCAGCAACGCTGACGCAAAGGTAGCAGTAGCTGCCATGGTGCGCCACAGCCACCCTTTCATTGATATGATGGTATTGCTTGCAAAGCTTGTGTGAATACCGTGCTTACCTGTGTCAACAACAAAATGTGACAATATGACAATATGTGAGGGTTTTGATGCCCATCATCACCTTGAAGCCTTGAATATTCGAATATATTCAAAGGATCCAGTTTGTACTTGAAAACATTCACATGATCACATGGTGACATGGTGTGGTTGTTTGGTACTCGCTCACCAAAGATTATGCACACAAGGCACACAAGTAGTTTCCGAAGTTTCCACCTGTGTGTCATCCTGTCTCTCTTGGAGCAAAAAAATGCACCAGGATGTTGCCGATATGATTCAGCTCAAAAGATTGTGGCTCACAATCACTGGCTCACAAGCCAATATCACAATATCATGCATGGAGGCGATGTGGAATATAAATTTTGAGCTACTTTACATGATTGATAAATAAAAACAACTAGGCAACCATATCAATTTCATATGATGGAAAACATTCTTTGTTTCAACAAACCTTGATGGTTGAATCACATCTTGCTGACAAACATATTCAAGACAAAAGGTTGTTTCTCTTGATGTTAAGGGACTGATAAAATAAATAATTAATAAGTGATCGTTCTAACAAACAAACATGTTGTTGCTATGCAAAATGAAATTTGGATAAGTGGATAAGTATGTTTTTGGACACAACACATGTTGTGTTTCTTCATATTGGGGGATGTACATGTAGCTATTTTAACACAAAAACAAAGTTGGGTTTTATGATTTTGAAGGATTGGAAATGTGATTTCTTTTAGGAAAAACAAGTTGGTACTTTTGATATTGAAAGATAGATAAGTGTATCTTTTCTGATAAAACATGTTGTGCATCTTGGTGTTGAAAAAAAACAAACAGATAGTTGTTTTAATAAACAACATGTTTGTGGCATTGATGTTGAAGGTTTGGCATGGTGGTGTTTTAAGAAAAAACATATTGATTCTCTCGATATTGAAGGATAGCACATGTTGTTTCTCTTGGTTCTGGAGGCTTGGCAGATAGTTCTTTTGACAAAAACATATTGTTTCTCTTGGTATTGAAGGTTGGCAAGCAGTTGTTTTAACCAAAAAACCTGTTGATTCTCTTGATATTGAAGGATAACACATAATGTTTTTCTTGGTTCTGGAGGCTTGGCAAATAGTTATTTTGACAAAAACATATTGTTTCTCTTGGTATTGAAGGTTGGCAAGCAGTTGTTTTAACCAAAAAACCTGTTGATTCTCTTGATACTGAAGGATAACACATAATGTTTTTCTTGGTTCTGGAGCCTTGGCAAATAGTTATTTTGACAAAAACATGTTGTTTCTCTTGGTACCGAAGGGTTGGCAAGCAGTTGATTCAACAAAAAAACCTGTTGATTCTCTTGATATTGGAGGATAGCACATAATGTTTTTCTTGGTTCTGGAGGCTTGGCAGATAGTTATTTTGACAAAAACATGTTGTTTCTCTTGGTACCGAAGGGTTGGCAAGCAGTTGTTTTAACAAAAAACCTGTTGATTCTTTTGGTATTGAAGGGTGGCACATGTTGTTTCTCTTCGTATTGAAGGGTTTGAAAACATTAGTTTTAACAGAAAAACATTTTGTGTATCTTGGTATTGAAGGGTTGGCAATTAGTTGTTTTAACAAAAACTTTTGATTCTCTTGATATTGAAGGGTGGCACATGTTGTTTCTCTTGGTATTGAATGGTTTGAAAATATTAGTTTTAACAGAAAAAGCTGTTGATTCTCTTGATATTGAAGGGTGGCACATGTTGTTTCTCTTGGTATTGAAGGGTTGAAAACATTAGTTTTAACAGAAAAAGCTGTTGATTCTCTTGATATTGAAGGGTGGCACATGTTGTTTCTCTTGGTACTGAAGGGTTTGAAAATATTAGTTTTAGCAGAAAAACTGTTGATTCTCTTGATATTGAAGGGTGGCACATGTTGTTTCTCTTGGTATTGAAGGGTTTGAACATATTTGTTTTAACATAAAACATGTTGTTGTTTTTGATATTGAAGGATAAACTGTTTGTTCACACCTGCATATGCCACCAAGTTGCAATGCACTCCTACCCAAAAACAATTAAAAAAACTAAAGTTTTGAGTGCTCGAACAGTTAAAAACTAAAGTTTTGAGTGCTCGTGCAATATGAATCTTTCATCCCAAAAGAGCATGTACATTGTCATCTTTCCTCTCATGCTATATGTGCAATGCCACTAGGGCACCAAAACAGCTTAGTGCCCTAGTTCAGGGGGTACCAAACCATGAGCCCTAAAACGGTCCACTTTGGACATCATTAACCAAGTGGGAGCAAAGTGGGAACAAGAACCCCAAAGTGGGACAAGAGTGGGGAACAAAGTGGGAACAAAGTGGGAACAAGAACCCCAAAGTGGGACAAGAGTGGGAACAAAGTGGGAACAAGAATCCGAAGTCGGATAAGAGTGGGAACAAAGTGGGAACAAAGTGGGCACATGAACCCCAAAGTGGGACAAGGGGGGAACAAAGTGGGAACAAAGTGGGACCAAGAACCCCAAAGTGGGACAAGAGTGGGAACAAAGTGGGAACAAAGTGGGAACAAAGTGGGAACCAAGTGGGACCACGAAATTCAAAAGGGGGACAAGAGTGGGAACAAAATGGGAACAAAGTGGGAACAAAGTGGGAACAAGAACCCCAAAGTGGGACAAGAGTGGGAACAAAGTGGGAACAAAGTGGGAACAAGAACCCCAAAGTGGGACAAGAGTGGGAAACAAGTGGGAACAAAGTGGGAACAAGAACCCCAAAGTGGGACAAGAATGGGAACAAAGTGGGAACAAAGCGGGAACAAGTGGGAACAGAATCCGAAGTCGATAAAGAGTGGAACAAAGTGGGAACAAGTGGGCGATGAACCCAAAAGTGGGACAAGAGTGGGAACCAAGTGGGAACAAAGTGGGACCAAGAACCCCAAAGTGGGACAAGAGTGGGAACAAAGTGGGAACAAAGTGGGAACAAAGTGGGAACAAAGTGGGACCAAGAACTCCAAAGTGGGACAAGAGTGGGAACAAAATGGGAACAAAGTGGGAACAAGAACCCTAAAGTGGGGCAAGAATGGGAACAAAGTGGGAACAAGAACCCTAAAGTGGGGCACAAATGGGAACAAAGTGGGAACAAGAACCCCAAAGTGGGACAAGAGTGGGAACAAAGTGGGGACAAGAACCCCAAAGTGGGACAAGAGCGGGAACAAAGTGGGAACTAGAACCCCGAAGTGGGACAAGAGTGGGAACAAAGTGGGAACAAGAACCCCAAAGTGGGACAAAAAGGGGACAAAGTGGGAACAAAGTGGGAACAAAGTGGGAACAAGAACCCCAAAGTGGGACAAGAGCGGGAACAAAGTGGGAACAAAGTGGGAACAAGAACCCCAAAGTGGGACAAGAGTGGGGAACAAAGTGGGAACAAGTGGGCACAAGAACCCCAAAGTGGGACAAGATGGGGAACAAAGTGGGAACAAGAACCCCAAAGTGGGACAAGAATGGGAACACAGTGGGAACAAGAACCCCAAAGTGGGACAAGAGTGGGAACAAAGTGGGACACGAGTGGGGCACAAAGTGGGAACAAAGTGGGAGCAAAGCGGAGCCAAGAACCCCAAAGTGGGGCAAGAGTGGGGAACAAAGTGGGAACAAAATGGGAACAAGAACCCCAAAGTGGGACAAGAGTGGGAACCAAGTGGGAACAAAGTGGGAACAAGAACCCCAAAGTGGGACAAGAGTGGGAACAAAGTGAGAACAAAGTAGGAACAAGAACCCCAAAGTGGGACAAGAGTGGGAACAAAATGGGAACAAAGTGGGAACAAGAACCCTAAAGTGGGACAAGAGTGGGAACAAAGTGGGAACAAAGTGGGAACAAGAACCGCAAAGTGGGACAAGAGTGGGAACCAAGCGGGAGCAAAGCTGGAACAAGAACCCCAAAGTGGGACAAGAGTGGGGAACAAAGTGGGAACAAAGTGGGAACAAGAACCCCAAAGTGGGACAAGAACCCCAAAGTGGGACAAGAGTGGGAACAAGAACCCCAAAGTGGGACAAGATGGGGAACAAAACGGGAACAAAGTGGGAACAAGAACCCCAAAGTGGGACAAAAAGGGGACAAAGTGGGAACAAAGTGGGAACAAAGTGGGAACAAAGTGGGAACAAAGTGGGAACAAGAACCCCAAAGTGGGACAAGAGCGGGAACAAAGTGGGAACAAAGTGGGAACAAGAACCCCAAAGTGGGACAAGAGTGGGAACAAAGTGGGAACAAGAACGCCAAAGTGGGACAAGGGGGGAACAAAGTGGGACACGAGTGGGGACGAAAGTGGGAACAAAGTGGGAACAAGAACCCCAAAGTGGGACAAGAGTGCGGGAACAAAGTGGGAACAAAGTGGGAACAAAGTGGGAACAAAGTGGGAACAAAGTGGGAACAAGAACCCCAAAGTGGGACAAAAGTGGGAACAAAGTGGGAACAAAGTGGGAACAAGAACCCCAAAGTGGGACAACAGTGGGATCACAGAGTGGGAACAAGAACCCCAAAGTGGGACAAGAATGGGAACAAAGTGGGAACAAGAATCCGAAGTGGGATAAGAGTGGGAACAAAGTGGGAACTCTATGGGAACAAGAACCCCAAAGTTCTAAGGAAAACATTCCATTGCCTTCAAGTGCTAGTTAGGTAAGCTATAGTAACCCCAAAGTTCACTGTAGAGCAAGCAGCAGTTCCCTTTTTTATCGGTTGGCTTAAAGGTCAAGTCATTCTAAAGCATCCTCACAATGGTGAGGAGCATTATTATAAAGCACGGCGTGGTAAAATGAATACGCCTGACCACTGCTGTGGAAGGTAGTAATACCAGGAAGAATCGTAACTAAAGACCAGCGGGTCAGAAGTGGATACACGGTATCTGGAATAAAAGGCTCCAGACACAAACGGGCATTACCCCCCAGACACAATGGGTACGAACAGAAGGGTAATGACCCACG